GACTGCGGGAAGACCTTCAGCCAAAAGGGGAACCTCATGACCCACGTGCGGATCCACACGGGGGAGAAGCCCTACAAGTGTGCGGAGTGCGGGAAGAGGTTCAGCCAGAGAGCGGGCCTCACCTCTCACAGGAAAAGCCATATCAAAATCAACCCCGTAGGGAAAGCGACTGTGGGTTATCTGATTTTCTTAAACCTGAGCGAATCAGCACAAGAGCAGAGCACTCTAGAAGCTTAACAAAAGGACAGCATCTTCCTGCAATGCTCAGACCATTCCTGTGTCAGAAAAAATGAATTGCATAGGATAAAAATTCTGAAAATCTTGGACCGTAATAGAAACAGGGTGTGTTGCAAAGTTGGAAAAACGGACATAAATGCTATGACTGGTTATCATCTCGGGTGCAGACTCTTTATTATTGTCTGATTAACAATTTGACTTTCCTATTCGAACATTGAGAAATAACTGGGATTAAAGCATTTTGACATAGCTTCAATTTATTTCCATTCTTTTATTAATCTGTCTTGATTTCCCACTTACCAAATATGTGTAAGCCATCCATAGTACTGTGATGCTGTCTGAGCTGGCAGTGGCTGCCCAGGAAAAGGAACTTAGGGTGTCATCTGCACTGCAGAAATAATGCAGTTTGACACAGCATTAACTACCATGGCTCCATCCTATGCTCAAGTCCCATTAAATACAATGGATAGTAAAATGGTGTTCCTAATAGAAAATGGGAAAATCAAGGTTTACTTTTGGGAATTTATACATTTTTAAAATACTTGCAAGATGTGGATACACTTTGCATTTCTCAGCTCACTTTCTTGTCTTTGTTACTTTTGTTATATTCCTGTACTTACAGTGGGGCCTTGGTATCTGCTGGGGTTTGGTTCCAGGACACTCCATGGATACCAAAATCCATGGATGCTCAAGTCCCATTCATTACAATGGTGTAGTAAAATGGAGTCCCTTATCTAAAATGGCAAAATCAAGGTTTACTTTTAGGAATTTATTTTTGAGGGGAATATTTTCAAGCCATGAATGGTGGAATACATGGATGCAGAATCCATGGAAAAGGAGGGCTGATGGTACTTTATTTAGCAGTGGCCATTTGGAGAGAAGGGATCCATTCCTGTGGCAATCAGGGTGCATGTGAGTGATGTTTCTATCCTCCCCACTCTGTGACACAACAGACTATAAATTCCAGGATACCATAGGATGGAGCCATGACAGTTTGCCATCGCCTTTCCCTGAGGCTGAGAGTGTGTGACTCGCCCAAGGTCACCCAGTGGGCTTCCATGGCCAAACAGGAAATCGAACCCTGGTCTCCAGAGTCGTGCTCCAACACTCAAACCACTATGCCACACTGGCTCCAAGAAATAATAATAATCAGTGTCAAACTGCATTAATTCTGCAATGTGTCAGCAGCCTAGGAAAGGAAAACAAAAGCAGCAGGAAGGAGGACATTAAAATATAATTTTAATGGTCAGAAGCAGGTGGCTTATTTTTTTAAGGGCCTAAGTACACACAGGCATGTGCAGAGTATTTTGATTTTGGGAATGGGACCAAATTTTTTTTCCCCTACTCATAACTATCAAGACGACTGTCATATATATAGGATTCTGGGAGTTTTGTAGTTCCAAAAAAGTTAACTACCAATTCTGTTTTGGCAACAAAATCTGCCAGCAAGGACAAACTATATGTTAAAAGTAGCATCCATCCTCTTGTCAACTGAATCTGTGATCTTTATTTCTTCCTCATCCATCATTATTTCATTTATCACTTTCAGGGATTTTGAGGAGCTTTGATGAGCTCTTCTTTTAAAGGTGGCACCGAAATGTTTAGCAAAAACAACAAGAAGTGACCAACAAACTGAGGATGATCTCTGAGACCATTCATCCAAATATTTTTACAAAACCATAAGTGCTGGTGGATGTCCTGAGGGTCATCCACTCAAACCCTCACCTTAATGCAGGAAATCAAGGATAAGAGCTGCAAAATGCATCCTCCATTCAGCTCCAGACTCTTCCTTTACCCACTCCCCCCAGAATTATTTTTTTTAATTCACATTGTGGTTTGCTCCAATTCCCACAGAGCACATAGACAGTATGTTTCCTTTGCTTATTTTCACCAGCATTTACTCTTCAGAGATAGACTTCCTCGGTGGCTGGAGTGTCTACTACCTTTGACAGCTGACTAGGATGGATGGCAAGCGCTGTACAGCCATGTATTTATTTGTGTTTGTTTGATTTTAATTGATATCCTGCCTTTCTTCCAGTCCAGGATTCAAGGTGACGGACACACAATAGTAAGTTTTATTTATAACCCACCCCTCTGCTCGGCAATCGGGGCAGCTTACAGCAAGTTAAAAAATACAACAGTTAAAACATTCCACCATCCCACGCCCTCCATCCCACCCCCAAACCCTCCCACCCCTTAAAACTAAATTAAACTATTGTAAAATTAAAATCAATTCAATCATAAAATACTAAAACCAGTTGGCATACATATCGTGGCGGCCGGAGGGGTGAAAATGGCGGCTCACCTCCATTTGGCCAGGCAGTTATTCTGGGAAGGCCTGCCAGAAGAGATCCGTCTTT